CTGACAGTGAGTGGTGTCACACACACCCCTGCACGAGCGTGGGGCCAGCAAGCTGTCCTGTCACAGGTGTGCACGTGTGTCACACCTGCGTCACCCCTGCCCGGGCCCGGGGAGGTGTCCCCAGCACACACCTGTGCACACCTGTGTCACACCTGCAGGCCCGGGGAGGTGTCCCCAGCACACACCTGTGCACACCTGTGTCACACCTGCAGGCTCGGGGAGGTGTCCCCAGCACACACCTGTGCACACCTGTGTCACACCTGCAGGCCCGGGGAGGTGTCCCCGGCACACACCTGTGCACACCTGTGTCACACCTGCAGGCCCGGGGAGGTGTCCCCGGCACACACCTGTGCACACCTGTGTCACACCTGCAGGCCCGGGGAGGTATCCCCAGCACACACCTGTGTCGCACCTCACGCTCTCGAGTGTGTTTGCACACACGTGTGTGCAGGTGAACCCCTCAGCACACCTGCACAGGCGTTCCCACCCCTCTGACACCCTTTTCAGGCTGTGCTGGGTCCCCCCTCACCCACCAGGCCCCCAGTGCTGCTCCTGGTGCCGATGGGGATCCGGGTGTGTGGTTCCCCCTGGGGGGTTCCTGTCCCCCCTGGTACCATCGGGGGTGCCCCGACCCCCTCTCCCCACCCCCCACCACCCTGTGCCCTCCCCCTGTAGGTCCCTGTAGGTGTTTGGGGGTCGGTGGGTGCCTGGTGGGGGGTCCCGTGTCCCCCTGGGTGGTCCCACACGGCCAATTTAGGAACCTGCCGTCCGTTGTTTGCTCATTAAAGACCGTTCACAGCGCCTGGCCTGCAGCTGCTTGGAGGTCTGGGGGGCCCAGGGGGGGATCCAGGGTGGGGGATCCAGGTGGGGGACAGGATTAAGGACCCCACGGCCGTGGCAGTGGGGACAAGTAGTGCCCAGGAGGGTGCTGGGAGCAGAAAGAGCCCTGACATAGGGACACAGAGAGGACACGGGGGGCATGTGTGGGGACATGGGGACACACGTGGGGACACGGGGACACAGGTGGGACACACATGGAGACACAGAAGGGACACACGTGGGGACATGTGGTGACATGGTGACACAGGGGGACACTGTGGGAACACAGGGCTGGCCCTGCCACCCCATGTGCATCAGCTGCTCAGATGCACAAACACAGACAGGGGGGTGCAGGGGCCTTGCGGTGTCACCGAGGTGCTCTGTGGTCTCTTAGGTGTGTCACAAGGACTCTGGGGTTCCCCGGGCTCCGGTGGGGGTCCCACATGTCCCGGCATAGTCTGAGACTCTATAAGGTCCAGAGGGGGCTCGGGGGGCTCCCAGAGAGGTCACAAGACTGCACGAGGGGCTCTCGGAGGGTCTCTAGGGAAGTCCTAGAGTGGTTCCAAGGGTGTCCCAGGGGTGCTTGGGGGTGCCGAGGGGAGTTTTCGAGGAGCCCGAGGAGGTCCTGGGGAGGTTGCAAAGGGGTCCTCGGAGGGTCCTGGGGGTGTCCCGGGAGGGTCTCCTGGGAGTCCAGGGGGTCCCGGGAGGGTCCCGGGGGTGTCCGGGGTGTCCCAGAAGGGTCCCCGGGGAGTCCAGGGGGCCCTGGAGGGTCCCGTGGGTGTCCGGATGGTCCCGGGAGGGTCCCGGGAGTGCCCGGTGTGTCCCGGCGGGTCCCGGGCGGCCCCGGCGGTGCAGGAAGCTCCGCCCACCGCCAGGGGGCGCTGTGTGGGAAACAGGGCTGGGGAGCACGACCAGGACCGTTGCCATGGCGACAGAGAGGCGAGGTCATCATGGTTTCCATGGCGGACAGGGGGCGTGGCCACCCCGTTGCCATGGCCGATTAGGGCGCGGTCATGTCAGTTGCCGTGGCAACGTGGGCGGGGCCCGTTGGTCGGCCCCGCCCGCCGGGGGGGCGGCGCAGGCGCGGTGGGTCCGAGCGGTCCCGGCCCGGTCCCGGTCCCAGTGTCGGAGCGGCGGCAGCGGAGCGGGGGGAGCGGAGCGGCGGCGGCCGCGGCCGAGCGGTGAGTGCGGCGGGACCGCCCGGGGGCCGGGGAGGGACCGGGCAGCGCCGTTGCCGTCGCCCGCATCCCCGCACCGGCCGCCGGCGCCGGCCGGGGGGGCCGCGAGGCCTCCGGGAATGAAGCGACGGGACCGGGCCGGGCACGGGGCCCGACAGGCGAGGCCGAGGGGCCGCGGGGCCTCTGGGGATGAAGCGGCCGCGGGTGGTTCGGGGAGCCCGTCCGGTGCCGCTGGGGATGGAGCGGCCGCGGCCGGGCCGGGAACGGGGCCGGGGCTGAGCGGCGGGGCCGGGAGGTCCCGCGGGGCCGGTGGCGGCGAGGCCAGGCCTGACTCAGCGGCGGCCATTCCTTTGGCCCGGCTGTGGCTCCCTCGGGGCCGCGGGCACGGCACGGTGCGGCCCCGGTACGGCGCGGTCTCGGTACGGCACCGGCAGGCCGGGAGCTGTAGTCCCGGCACCGCGCAGCACCAGCCCGGGCATCGCCACCGGGCCCGGGTATCGGCGGGGCCTGGGCGTCACCCAGAGATCCCCGGGCTGGGGAGTCCTGCGGGGCCCGGGCCGCCGCCGGTCGGGCAGTGTCGGTGCTGCCGATGCCGTCCCGCCGGTGTTGGTGTGAGTGACACTCCCGAGATGGTGCCGTGGCGGTCCCGGGCGGCAGGCGGCTGTGACCGTGACCCATGGAGCGTGACGCGCTCCCGGTGCTCGGACTCATGGCGGCGGGGTCACCGGCACGGCCGCGGTGTCGCTGGGACGGGATTGTCACCCGTTGTAACCGGTTGCGGTGTCACTGGCGTGTGTGTGTCGGGATGGGGCCGGGCTCCTTTCACCTGTGCTCCCGGGAGCGCCGTCCCGGGGACATCCATCCCCATCTCCCGCGCGGGCCTTCCCGAGCGGGTCCTCTCGCCGCGGTCGGAGCGCACAGACCCGGCCCCCAGCGCCGCCCCGAGACCCCCCGGTGTGACCGGGGTCCCGGGGATGTCGTGAGCCCTCACTGTCCGTCCTGTCACGCTGTGGGGACACGGTGGGGACAGCGCTGCCCGGCAGCGTGGCACGGGCAGAGTGTCCCGGCCGGGGGTGGGAACGTGTCCCCCGCCCGCCCCGGCTCTCCCGGCTCGGCTCATCCCGCGGCGCTCGGCATTAATATTTCAGGAGCGGGGGGAGGGCTCCGCTCTGCACATGCTCCCGCCGCCGTACCGAGTTATTTAGGTTAGCGGGAGCCGAGCGGGGCGGGGGGATTTGCGCGGCCGGGCACCCAACCCGCGTTCCGGACACCGGCACCGCGCAGGCATCGCCGTCGGGAGCCGACAGCTCCCGGTGCGTGAGCGGCCGGTTCACCTCGTCGGGACGGGCACTGCCGCCGGGAGACAGGGAAGGGTGCCGGGGATGGAGCCGGTGCGGGGCTGGGGGCTGCCCGCGCCCGGCAAACCCACCTGTACCCACCGGGGCGCGGGCTGGGGAGCGGGGATGGTCCTCTCGGGGTGGGGGGAAGTGGCACTGGGGGGACCCCTGGCGCGGGACAGCGGCGAGCGGCCACCCCTGATGGCACCCGGGCCAGCGTGCCCGCTGCCAGATCCCCGGCAGCCCCGCGGCGGCTCCGCACGGCGCTCAGCCCCCGCGGGCTGTCTGCCACCCCCCTCGCGTGTTTGTCACTTGAGAAGCCACCGGGACGGCTCCCAAAATAGAACCCGCCAGTCGCAGCAGCCCAGTTCGCCCCGGCACCACGGTGCTGCCGGGCCGGCACCGACGCGTCGCCCGGTGCCCGCCGTCGGTGCCGCCCTCGGCCGCTGCGCTGGCACGGCCGCTCCGGCGCTGGCACACGCGTCCAGCTTCACTCTGCTCCCGTTTGTTTGGGCAGAGCGGCCCGGGGGCTGCGCCGTGGGACCGGGCCCGGACGACCTCTGCGTGCGCCCCGGCAGCGCCGCGGGACGGGCACGGACACAGCCCGGGGCCGTGATTATCAACTCGGGGCCGGACAATTAAAATGCAGCGGTAAGCGTCCCCCGCCTGGCCGGGCGCCCGGCAACAGCCCCTCTCCCCACGGCCTGCCGGGAATCGGGGCTCGGTTCTTATTTTCGTTAGTTTTTTGGCACGAGCCAGCCGCAAACCGGCCGGGCCGGAGGCTCCCGGCCCTGGGCGCGTCCATCACCCCGCGTCGGGGCGGCAGCGAGTCGGAGGGCGCCGCAGGCCCTGGCTGCCCTGTCATTACACCGGGGCGTGCTCGGCGCTGCGCCGGGGGCTTGGAAGGTGTTGGGGAGGTTTGGGAGGGTAGGGACGGGCTGGGTGGCACCGCGCGCCCCGGCCAGCGCGTCCCGCTGCGGGGTCAGGACACGCCGGTGCCTGGCGGGGTCGGAGTTCTCCCGGAGGGGTCAGGGTTCTGACAGCGTGTCACGGTTCTCCCCGCGGGTCAGGGTTCTCCCTCGGGCTCTCACGTGTGCCGGCGTGTGCGGGAGTCGGGGTGCGGCTGGTGGCGACTCGTCGGGCTCGCCTGGCGCCGTTGACACCCCAGTTCATCCCACTGGGAAACCCGTCCTCATTCGTGGCCCTAAGGGGTCCCTGCCGCGTCCCAAACGCGGGCAGGGGGGGGGCTAAGAGCCGTGGCGGCCGTGCCAGGTCCCACTGGGCATCCCCCGCTCCCCCGGGGCACGGTGCGGCCCCGCGGCTCGTGGTGGGGTCCGTGCTCTGCCGGCAGCAGCTTCGGTTATTTGTGAAGGGCCGGCGATGGCGGGGGGGTGTCGGCGGCTCCCGGCCGGGGTGGGTGGGCAGACAGCCTCCAGCCCCCCTCGGCCCTCTGCAGCCCCCGGCCCCGGCGCGGCGTTCCCGGCAGCCGCGGCACCGCAGTGCGCGTGGCTCTGGCTCAGCGCCGCGCATGACTCAGCTCCGCTGCCGGAGCCAGGGGAGGGGGAGAGAGGCAGAGCCTTGAGGGGGGACCCCTACCCGCACCCCGCTGGCACGAGGCCGCGGGACGGGCGCGGGAGGGGCTCTGGCTCTCGCCGGTGCCGGGGGCGGTCGGTGCCCACCGCGCCGTGCCGGGGATGGCGGCGGCGCGGGGGCCGCAGTTCCAGAGGCTGCGGTGGCGGCTAAAAATACCGCTACCCGCCCCCAGCTGCGTGCAGTGGCGCGGCGGAGCGGGCCGGGGGTCCTGGCCGCGGCGGGGACGGTCGGCTCAGCTGCCCGTGGGGTTCAAGCAGTCACGGCCGCGGCCGTGCGGCATCGCCGGTGCTGAGTCACCGCGGTACTGAGCCCGACCGTGGGAGGGCTGCGGACACCGGCACCTGTTCCTCCCCAAACGGGCACCGGAGAAGTGGCAGCGCCCCACAGCCCCCCACCAATGCACCCCCAGCCTCCCAGGGCACAGCCCTGCGGTGGCAGTGCCCCCCTCGGCCCCCCCTGGACTGTGTCAGTAGGAGGGGGGGTGATGGGGATCGCCCCCCCCAAGCCCCCGCCTGGCAGCTGGCCCAGGCCCCGCAGCCCCCCTCTCCAGGGAGGGAAGCGGATTAACACTGCCGCTGCCACCGCTGCTGCGCGGGGGGGGCCACGGGGACCCCCGTCCCCGGGGAGGGGCAGCGGGACTGGGACCCTTGATCGGTCCCTGAGCTAAAGCATTTCGTGGGGGGCAGTGGGATGGGGGCTCGGTGCCCCCCACTCTTTGGTGGGGCTCCCCTTGCCACAGCCATGGACAGGGGGTCCCAGAGCCCCCCACCATCTGGGCACGAGCCTGTGTCCATGCCTGCCGGCAGATGTTGCCCCTCTAAGCCCTGCTCTAATGGACCCCAATCCCGATCCTGGCCACAGCAGATTAGGCAGCACCGGGGGCCGGAGGGGGGGCCCTAAGCTGCTTATGGGCAGTGGCCCCCGGGAGCCCCGTGGCCTCACACAGGGCAGCAACAGCCCCCCAGTGCAGAGGGAGTGCCCTCGGCAGTGCCTGCAGCCCCTCTGTGGTGCCCACATCCCCTGGGACCCCCTGCCCGCGAGCCACATCCTGCACTGCATCTGTGTCTTGCTCCCAGTGGCACCCTGTGACCCGGCTCCCCTGGGTACCCCTGTTCAGGGCAGGGGTCCACCCAGCTGAGTGGGCCACCATGGGACGTCTGGGTACCCTCAGGCCTCCCTGTCACACCCCTCCTGCCTTATTTGCAGGTGCAGCTGGAGGGGGCGGTCCCAGAGGTCCCATGGCAGCCTGGGGAGCCCGGGTGGGATGTGTGTCCCAGGTTCCAGTGCCCCCAGTGTGAGAGCTTGGGCGGGATGGACACCCCAGGTCCCAGTGTTCCTGGTGTTTGAGCTCGGGTGGGACGTGTGTCCTGGGTCCTGGTGCCCAGTGTGAGAGCCTGGGTGGGATGGATACCCTGGGTTTTGGTGCCCCAGGTGCCGGTGTGACCCCCGTTTCTCACAGCTGGGGTATGGCCGTCAATGTGTACTCGACGTCAGTGACCAGCGAGAACCTGAGTCGTCATGACATGCTGGCCTGGGTCAACGACTCCCTGCAGCTCAACTACACCAAGATCGAGCAGCTCTGCTCAGGTGGGCTTGGGGGGGGGTTGGGGACACGGCGGGGGTGGTGTCGGGGTGCCCTCAGCCCCCCCTGACCGCAGCGTGGGCCTGGCACAGGGGCTGCCTATTGCCAGTTCATGGACATGCTGTTCCCCGGCTGCGTGCACCTGCGGAAGGTGAAATTCCAGGCCAAGCTGGAGCACGAGTACATCCACAACTTCAAGGTGCTGCAGGCCGCCTTCAAGAAGATGGGAGTAGACAAAGTAGGTCCATGGGGACGGTGGGGGCTGTGCCACGGGGGGCTGGGCTGTGCCGTGCCGGTGTCCCCACCGTGCCAGGGGCCGCACTGGGAGCGCAGCCCCACCGGCCCCTCCGTGTGCCCCCAGATCATCGCCGTGGAGCGGCTGGTGAAGGGCAAGTTCCAGGACAACTTTGAGTTCATCCAGTGGTTCAAGAAATTCTTTGACGCCAACTACGACGGGAAGGAGTACAACCCGCTGCTGGCGCGGCAGGGCCAGGACGTCGCGCCGCCCCCTAACCCAGGTGATCACATCTACAACAAATCCAAGAAACCCATTGGCACTGCAGGTAATGTCCGGGGCCCCCCGGCGAGCACTGCCCCTGCCCTCTGCACCCCACGGCCAGGCGTCCCCCTGAACCCCTGCCTGCACCCTGCTCTGCTGCCTGCCTGCCTGTAATGGGGGGACGGGGTGGGTCTGCAGGGACAGTGGGGTAGTGGAGGGGACAGCAGGGAGGTGGAGGAGACAGCAGGGAGCTGGGCCAGGCTCGGCTGCCTCTTGTCTGCCCGCTCACCAGGGGCTGGGGGTGGTTTGTCCCCCCTTGGCTGCTGTCCTCCTGTGCTGTGCCACCACAGTGCAGCTCCTATGGGCACTGGGGGCTCTCTGTGCCAGCCACATGGGAGTTTTTCAAGGGCTGGGACTCCCCCCAAATTGCACAGCAAAGCCATCCAAGCCACGAGCACCCCTGGGGGGTTGGGGGTGAAATCTGCCAGGGGAAACAGAGGCAGGGGGGCTGAAAGCATGAGAACCTGGAGCCACGGCTCTGCCTGCCCTTGCTGCCCACTGCTGCCTCCTGGCACAATGCAGGGGAAGGTCCCTGCTGACAGCCCCCCCGGCTGGCATTAACCCTCTGGTCCCCATGTGCTGTCAAGTCCCCCAGAGAACCTCCCCCACCGGCCCCAAGAATACCCCAAACCCAGCCCGCCTCGGCAACGTGCCCAGCGGCATCCTCCGGAAAAACTCGCCTGCCGCCCGCAACGGCGGCACCGAGGCCGACGCGCAGATTCTGGAGCTCAACCAGCAGGTAGGGGGGACCCTACCGGGGGGGCTGGGGGGCACCGCAGGGTTGTGGAGGGCCCTGAAGGCTCCAGCCATTTCCCTCTCCCACAGCTGATGGACCTGAAGCTGACGGTGGACGGGCTGGAGAAGGAGCGGGATTTCTACTTCAGCAAACTGCGGGATATCGAGCTCATCTGCCAGGAGCATGAGAATGAGAACAGCCCCATCATCACCGGCATTGTCAGTGTCCTCTACGCCACGGAGGTGAGTGCTGGGCACCACAGGACACCCGGGACCCCTGTGTCCCTATGCTGTTCTCTGGACATCCATGGGAAGGGAGGGACCCCTTCCTCATGGCCACTCCCAGCCTCATTCGCTGCCCCGGCTGCTGGGGAGTGGTTTGGGTTTTGTCAAAGCCCTCGTGCCATGCTTTGGGGGGGAGGGTGTCAGTGGGCCCACCTGTGTCACCCCCGTGCTGATGGTCAACATATCCCCCTCAGGAGGGCTTCGCTCCACCAGAGGATGACGAGCTGGAGGAGCAGCCGCCAGAGGACCAGGACGAGTACTAGCCCCGGCCCGCGCCCGCGCCCCCCGCGCCGCCCCCCACCATAGACATTCGAGGTCCGAGCCCGCGCCTCGCCCTGCACTGTCACATGCCATCGCGGTCTCCGGCAGCTCCAGGGGGAACCCCCCGTTTCCATAACCAGCTGACGTCCCCCAGGCGAGCAGCGCGGTCGCGCCAGGGCCGGGGCTGGGGCCGGGCTCTGGCCCCGCGCTGGGGCCCAGCCCGCACCACTCCCTCCCCCTATTTATTTCCGTTGTCCCCCCCGGTGTGAGCGAGTGCCGCGGCTGCCCTGGCGTCGCGCCTGCCTGTGGTGGGAGCGAGAGGGAACACCGAGTCCTTGGGGGCTGGGCTGGGGTGCCACGTGCTGCCTGCCCTGCCAGGACCCCCACGGCCCCTGGGATCCCTGTGGCAGGGTGGGTGTGCCCAGCAGCCTGCGGGAGCGGGTGTGGAGGAGGGAGGGGTTGCTTCAGGTTCCCAGGAAGATGAAAAGGAGACCCCAGCCCTATGCAGCCGTGGCAGTGGGGGCCGCCTGCCCCCACGGGGGTCCTAGAGCGGGAGCCTGTCCCTGCTATGGGGTGGGGACAGCGGTTGCCCTCTCCCCTCGCCTGTGGCTCCTCAGAGCCGGGGTCCAGAGTGGGTGACCACGAGGACTTGCAGCGCCCGCCCGCCCCGGCCGCCGTGTCCCTGTCGCATCGCTTGTCTGGTCCATCACTCCGGTCGCAACGCTGCATCTGTGTTCAGTTTTATTTAAATAAACTCGTGTGGTAACACTGTGTGCTGGGGGGCACCAAGGGGTCCCGGACCTGCTCCCTTGGCCTCGGGGTCCCTCCGTGCTGCCAGGCCAAGTGGGCGGGGGGTAGATGGGAGTTGTCCCGGCTGCAGGCTGTGGGGCCGCTGCGGGCAGGGAGGGTTTGTACAACTTGGGTCCATCTCGGGTTAGGTGTATATTTTTGTGGGTGTTCTGGGATTTATAATCCCGAGATTCCCTTGTTCCTACTGCTGACCCGGACTTCACAGTCAGTGTGGGGCAAGCAGGACGCGGGTCGGTCAGATTCGGCTCGAGGATCTCGCTAGAGCAAGGGTTATTATTTCTGTCTTTAACCGGTTGAGCCAGGGGAGAGCGCGAACGCAGTCCCCCACTACCACAAATTATGCAGTCGAGTTTCCCGCATTTGGGGAAATCGCAGGGGTCAGCACACCCGGAGTGCAAGGGATGAGCCTCGCCCTGGGAAAACCACCTGCCTGATCATGGTGTCTCCCCTGCCAGGTAAGTATGAGTTGCTTTCGCCAACCCACACCGGCCCCGCACCGCGCACCCACCCCCAACACACGCTCACTGCCCACCCGGCCCCGAACCCGTCCGGCCTCGCGTTCCCCACCGGCCCGCACGGCTCTGCCCTTTGCAGCGCCCGCGGACGCGCGTGGCCGCGGGGTCTGTGCGCGGGACGTGTCCCGGCGTCCTCCGCGATGGAGGATGATTTGCATATCCCCGCCCCTTTCACCTCCGCTGCCCCTCCCCGGGCTCCGTGCGCAGGGCAGCGCCCCCTGGCGGATCCTCCCGAATGGGTTCGGATCCATTGGATCCACTGGAATGGAGGGAAGCGGGGCTGGATGTTTAACAGGCGTTTCGTCGGGCAGTCGGCGCCAGGTATTAGGAAGAAATTCGGGAAGAGAGAAGGAACATCGTGGATGGTTGTTTCCCCAGTGGTGTCTGTAACCACAGGGAAGAGGGACAAGACAAGGAGAAGAGCCGGGTGAAATTCCCAAAGCCGTTGTCAGCTGCCCTAACCGACATGCCAGGGCAGGGAGGAGGCAGAGGGTGAGGTAGATTTTGGGGGAAAAGGTGGAGATTAACACCCCTCCAGAAGGATCAGGGTGCCTGTTGCAGACAGGAGGGACAATGGGAAAAGGAGCGTCCCAAACTGCAAACGGACAGAAGGGAGAATCGGAAGAGATGGGAATTATGGCAGAAATTGGGCTGGACTGAAGGGGACTGGTCCTCAGGCCAGTTCTCAGCTTCCAGGTAAGCTGGGGAATGAAACAATGAATTTTCTAGTGGATACTGGAGCAGCTGATTCCATAGGTCCTGAGGGACCATTAGCAAAAGGAAAGTCAGTGTTGGTGCTGTGAAATTCCTCAGGGACAGGGAGTCCCCCAGACCATTTTGCAACCCATGGAATTCATGACTGGGAACGTAAAATGAACACATCGCTTTCTCCACAGGCTGAGTGTCCTTTGCCATTGCTTGGGCAGGATTTGCTGTGCGAGTTAAATGCACAGTTGACTTCTCCTCAGGACTCTGTCCTGTTGCATATTCCTCTGGAAAATACACGGAAAGCACAGCTCTGCCCACTCACCGAGGGAAACCCGCAGACAAGGGAATCTCCAATGAAGTTTTAGGTGCAGCTGTACCGTTGGTTTGGGCTCTGGGAACTCCGGGACGAGCGAGAAACACAAGTCTGGTAAAATCTGAAGTGAAACCAGGAGTCGAACCAGTAAGAAAAGACCAACATCCCATAAA